TATAGTATGCCAGACTCTTGAGGTCCGAGCGTTGTGTTCCTCGGCAATGAACCTGAGAGGAACTGTATTGTGCTAGACTCTTGAGGTCTGAAATGATGTGTTCCTCGGCTATGAGCCTGAGAGGAACTGTAGTATGCCAGACTCTTGAGGTCTGAGCGTTGTGTTCCACGGCAATGAATCTGAGAGGAACTATATTGTGCAAGACTCTTGAGGTCCGAAGTGACGTGTTCCTCAGCTATGAACCCAAGAGAAACTGTATTGTGCCGAACTCTTGAGGTCCGAAGCGATGTGTTCCTCGGCTCTGAGCCTAAGAGGAATTGTAGTATACTGGACTCTTGAGGTCCGAGCGTTGTGTTCCTCGACAATGAACCTGAGAGGAACTGTATTATACCGGACTCTTGAGGTCCGAAGTGACGTGTTCCTCGGCTGTGAGCCCTAGAGGAACTGTATTATGCCGGACTCTTGAGGTCTGAAGCGATGTGTTCCTCGGCTATGAGTCTGAGAGAAACTGTAGTATGCCAGACTCTTAAGGTCCAAGCATTGTGTTCCTCAGTAATAAACTTGAGAGGAACTATATTATACCAGACTCTTAGGGTCAGACGTGACGTGTTCCTCGGCTATGAGCCCGAGAGGAATTATATTGTGCTGGACTCTTGAGGTCCGAAGTGACGTGTTCCTCGGCTATGAGCCCGAGAGGAACTGTATTGTGTCGGACTCTTGAGGTCCGAAGCGATGTGTTCCTCGGCTATAAGCCTGAGAGGAACTATAGTATGCCTGACTCTTGAGGTCCGAGTGTTGTGTTCCTCAATAATGAACCTGAGAAGAATTGTATTGTACTGGACTCTTGAGGTCCGAAGCAACGTGTTCCTCGGCTATGAGCCCGAGAGGAACTGTATTATGCTGGACTCTTGAGGTCTGAGGCCTGATCTAGAAAACTTACCAAGTATGCAAGGCTGGCCAAAGATTCAAAAATAACATGAGGCCAAGAAAGAGAGTAACTGTAACTGAGAAGTCCCCCAAACGTTTGGTTGGAAGACTTTCTTCCACAGAGACTTTCTTTGTGGCAAGCAAATATGGTGTGCTAACTCTATATTTGCTATACATCTCTTGTACTCCTATTCAAGGTGGGACAAGGAATATAATTTAATATGGGCCAAAAACTTGGTACGTTTGGAAAAAAGAATTATTGCAAAGAATGTCCACTGGTACCAAGGTTTTTGTGGGCTGGGCCGTTACTATTACCAGTGGGCCCTCTTTGCAATGCACTGAAATACTTTAATATTTCCTTATATAAATGAATGTACAGAGGTATTCTTTTTTGATGTGGGACAATAATATGATATGAGTTCTGAGCTAAGTAAAGCCTGAATGTTCAATAAGCATTCGTTTGTAATACACATGCACTTTAAAGTATGTTTCCCTTGTGAAAAGACTTGCAAGTACAATCAATAAGCAAAAACAATACGGCTTTGCTTTGTTTGTGAAATATCTTTCTTTTGTTTGTTTATGATAATCTCTTTCTTTTGTCATAATATCAACAATAGGGTGTATGTATCGCCCCGTATGATGAAAAAGAAAGTAGCAACAAGTAATATCCCATATTACTAAAGTAAAAGGAGTAAAGATATGTATTACTTAAGAAACTTTTGTTATGTGGGCCTAGAAGAAGCCATATTTGGAGAGAAAATAGATGTATATTGTCTGTAAAAGAAAAGTAAATAAATCATATTATCTAATGATAGTACCTTTTTAAGTGTATTGCATTCCATGGACGTGCAATTGGACGCCCATCAGCTTCCGCCAACCGGTAAGCTCCTTTCCCTACCACTTCCGTGACTCTGTAAGGTCCAGTCCAATTAGGTTGTAACTTTTTTACATAGGCTGTTTCTTGTTTCAGCACCCAGTCTCCTTCCATAAAACTTTTGAACCTGACTCGCTTGTTGTAACTGTTATGCAATTGTTGTTGGTACGAAGCGAGCCTAATTACTGCGGCATACCTCTTTTCTTCCAAGAGGTCGAGGCTATGCTCGAGCTACTGATCATTATTCCCTTCAAGCACCAAATGGGTCCGAAGAGTAGGAATTGCTGACTCTGTGGGGATGATAGCTTTAGACCCATAGGCCATGGCAAAGGGACTTTCGCCTATTAGCTTTTGTAGGGTGGTACGATTGCCCACAGTACCTAAGGCAGATTCTCGTACCACTTTGACTTGAACTTGTCCAACTTTTTCTTTAGGCAGCTGAAAATGGTTCGGTTAGTTATTTCAGCCTGCCCGTTCCCCTGCGGATAGCTAACTACAGCCAACTTCTGCCTGATCCCATGCTCAGCAAAGAATTTTCTGGTCACTCTGTTGTCCAAGTTCAGACCATTATCCATCATGATAACCTTTGGCACTCTAAATCGGCAGATTATGGTGTTCCATAAAAAACTCTTTACTTGCTTGTGGGTCACACTTGAATAAGCCTCTGCTTCCACCCATTTTGTGAAATAATCCGTGGCTAACAACATGTATTCCTTTTGCTCCACAGTTTTGGGTAATGGACCGACCATATCAATCCCCCATTGAGCGAATGGCCATGGATTCGCCATTGTGTGTAAATCTTTGGTGGGCTGATGTTTCATTGGACCATGTCGCTGGCATTTGTCGCATCTTTTGGCATATTCTTTGACATTCTGAGCCAAGTATGGTAGAAATAACCTTGAGTTAGGACCTTATGTGCCAAGGATCTACCGCCTGAGTGGTTGCCACAATCCCCATCATAAATCTATTTTAGAATCATGAGGGCCTCAGTGGGACTTAAACATTTTAGGTAATGACCTGAGAATGACTTCCGATATAATTGATTATTGATGATAGAATATTTGGCTACGGTGAGCCTAAGTTTCCATGCCTCGGCCTTCTAGTTCGGAAGAGTTCCCTCCTTAATGTAAGCTTTCAATGGATCCATCTAGTATGGTTCGCGAGGAACATCTGGGATCACCATTATCTCCTGCCGAGGGCTTATACTTGGTTCGTCCAAGATGTCAATTGGTATTATCTGGACCAAATCTTCATCTGAAGAAGACGCTGCAGCAGGTAACTGATCTACTTCAGAATTCTCCTCACGAGGTACTTGATGGAATTTGATTTGATCGAACCCTCGCGTGGCACTCTCCACAGCCTCCTTATAAGCTTTCATTCTATCTTCCTTGGGCTGATACTGGCCTGTTACCTAATTCACAACAAGTTGAGAATCACTAAAAACTTTTAGATACCTTACCTAGAGCTGGTTTTCTACCCAAAACCCAGCAAGCAAGGTCTCATACTCCGCCTCATTGTTAGTGGCAGAAAAAGTCAGATGAATTGATTACTACAGCTTGGTGCTTTCGAGGGTTATGACAATGATTCCAGCCCCAGCACTAATCAAGTTCAAGGAGCCATCCACCCAAAGCTCTCATTGTGGCTCAAGAGGACCTGACTCTTCGGGCTTATCCTCATACTCCAAGAGGAAGTCAACCAATGCTTGTCCTTTGTGTGACACCTTTGGTTCGTAGGATATATCAAAGGAGTTACGTTCGATTGCCCATTTAGTTATTCTTCCAGATAAGTCTGGCTTAGAAAGAATGACTCGCATGGGGTAGTTGGTAAGAACTTTGATGCTGTGTGACTCAAAGTAGTGTCGAAGCTTTCTCTTTGCATACACCAATGCTAGTATAATCTTTTCTGCTTTGCTGTATCATGTTTCTGCATCTGCCATTATCTTACTGGTGTAGAAGATTAGATACTAATTTTTCCCTTCTTCTCTAATTAACACTGCACTCGTGGCTATGCTGGAGATTGCTAAGTACATGATAAGAGTTTCACCAGGCTTCGGAGCCGACAGAATTGGGGGTTCAGCCATGTAGCACTTTAGTTGATTGAGAGTAGCCTGCTGTTGAGGTCCCCATATGTCTTTGTTTTTGGACCTTATTGCATCAAAGAATGTTTTACACTTATCTAACAATCGAGAGATGAATCGAATGAGAGCTGCGATTCGACCGGTCAAAACCTGTACTTCCCTGCGGGTTTTCGGTTCTTGATTTTGTATAAGGGCTTGAGCCTGAGCCGAACTCACCTCAATTCCCCTTTTGTTTACAAAATGGTTGAGAAACTGTCCTGAAGAAACCGCAAAAGAGCACTTCAAAGGGTTGAGCTTCATATCATACCTTCTCAAAGTGTCAAAGACCTCTTAGAGGTGCTTAGGATGTTCTTCCTTCTTCACACTTTTGACCACCATGTCATCGATATAGATCTCAACCGTTTTTACCAACATCTCGTCGAAGATCTTGTTAACAAGGTGCTGGTAAGTTGCCCCAGCATTCTTGAGTCCGAAGGGCATGACTCTATAACAGTAGGTGTTATTCTCTGTTATGAAAGCAGTTTTCTCTTCATCTTTTGGATTCATATGGATTTGATTATAGCAGGAGTATGCATCAAGAAATGTGAGCCTTGCAAAACCAGTGGTAACATCAACCATCTGATCTATTTTGGGTATTGGAAAACTGTCTTTAGGGTAGGCTTTGTTAAGATTGGAAAAATCTATGCACACCCTTAATTTTCCATTCTTCTTCTGAACTACCACCACGTTAGAGAGCCATTATGGGTAGTGCACCTCTCGGATGAAGCCCGCTTGAAGTAATTTGCTTATTTCTTCAGCTATAATCCGGTTGTGCTCAGGAGCGAACCTTCTGTGCCTCTGCTTGACTGGTTTGAATGTCGGATCTACCTTTAGGCTATGGCATGAGACTAAAGGATTGATTCCCACTATGTCTGAATGTTCCCAAGCAAATGCATCTGCGTTTCGTCAAATGACATCAATTAAAGCTTTCTTTTCTTCGGCTATGGGGGAAGAACCTATATAGGTGACCTTCTAAGGATCACCAAGGATTACTTCAACAGCCTCCAAAGACTCCTCAGTAGGCTTTGTAGCTTCAGCTTCATCCTCTACTTTCAAATACCTAGGCAGAGGGCTCGGTAATTACTATTTGGACATGCTCCTAGGAGGAGCGATTCGTTGGGGTTGTTTTGCTACCTTCTTTGCTGCATTCTGTGCCAACATATAGCATTCTTTGGCAGCGACTTGATCTCCCCTAAAATTAATAACTTCTTTATCGTTCGGAGATAAGCATCGCATCACTTGATGAAGGGTAGATGGAACCCTGTTCATTCGGTGGATCCAACCTCTTCCCATAATAAGATTATAAGAAGGATGGATCTCCATTAGAATAAAGTTCTCCTTCAGTGTCCTCTTTGTTGTGGTCACAGATAGGTCAATTACCCTGAGAGGGTCCACCTTTGTGCCATCAAACCCCATCAAGGGACTGGAGGTGAGCCAAATTGATGACGACGGAATCTCCAGCTGCTCAAAGACGACCTTTGTGATGATATTGGCACTACTACTTGGGTCTATCAAAACCCTCTTAATCATACAATTCACTACCAAAAGACTGATGACCAACGGATCCTCGTGGGGGAGTTGAACTTTAGATAGATTTCCATCGCCAAACCCAATATTGACGCTTCCCTAAACGATAATATTCACTGAGGATAACCTTCTTAGCTTATGGGCTGTCCTCAGTCGGGATCTATATACCTCCTCTAACTCTTGATCATCCTCTGATCCTCCATGTATTGCATGGATGACCTTCACTTGATTACCTTCGACTTTCCGAGGATTAACCTCCTGGGGCTACACGTACTCCTTTGTTGTGAGGTAGTCTGCCAATTCACCTCTCATTATCATGTTTTCCACCTGCCGCCTAAGGGATCTGCAATCACTAGTTGTATGCCTGTAATCTCTATAGTAAGCGCAGTGCTTGCTCTTGTCTCTCTGCTCCAAAGGTTGCTTTGTTGGCTGAGGGGCTGCAAATTTCATCTTATTTTCTTGGAATAGCCGAGCCAAGGTCGTGTGAAGAGGTGTGAATCTTTCCTCTGTCCTTTGCCTTTTATTAGGTACCAGAGTGACTGGTGCTGAAACGTGTTGGTTTTTCCAGCTTTTTGAATTTGAAACCCTTTCCTAAGGCTTATTCTCTACTGTGACGAGGGTGGCATATTGGGCTCGGTGGGCTACATTCTCCTCAAGTCGGATATATATCTGTGCCTTAGCATTGAGAGTTTGCATATCCGGAGGGGAATATTTAACTAAAGATGTATGGAACTTAGTTCCCTGAATTATTGCAAGCTTGAACGTTTCTATTACGGTAGCAGGATGGCAATCTTCTATTTTCGAAGCCTCCATGTTAAATCTGAACAAGAAATCCTGTAATGTTTCGCCTTTCTTTTGCCTTACAGTGAAGAGGCTAGCAATACTCTTCTTTTGCTTCTTATTTCCGCAATACTGCACCAGGAATATAGTACACAGAGTTTCATAGTCTGGAATAGATTTATGTGGCCTATTCCTGAACCACTCCAATGCAAACTGGTAAGAAAAACTTTGCACATCCATGGATCGTTGTGATCGTCCAGAGCCATCTTTTATGCATAGTGATTTAGGTGCCGAGAAAGATCTCCCGTACCATCAAACTGGGTAAAGGAAGGCATAGTGAATTTCTTAGGTCTGTCAACAAGGTACATATCGTCAGTGAATGGGATCTTCACTAGAGAATTCTTATATTCCCTGGCCATCTCGGCAGGCGTTTGAACTCTCAGGAGTCTCTTCTCATCAAAGGCCTCCTTTACTCCTGCACCAACTGGAATACCATTAGACCATACCATAAGCTTACGGCTGGACTCGGCCTGTTCATCCTGCATATGACGAGGAAGATTGTCCGAAGCAACCGCCTTGGACCTTGTCCTCTGCTCTTACTAAACTTCGTTGGGTTGAGCTTCATTAGGCCAAACCCCATTGACCTGAGGCTCGTTAACCTGAAGAGCATTTTGGTTGGGGGAGGTGCAGCTACATCAACTGGTGGTGGCTGAGGTGTCAACTGAGCCGTAACCATTTGAAGGTTGTCGTTTTGCTGTTGAAGTAATACAATCTGGGCTATGCTGGCTTCGTTCGCCTGACGAAGTGTTTCAAATTGTGTAAGAACTCCTCTCACATCTTTTGCATCAACTCCATCTACTAATCACCCGCCATTGATTCACCGTTCGACATTCCAGATCGTGGAAACAGAAACAATTTGAAACAAAAGTGCGAGTATATTTCTATACATTTCCCACAGACGGTGCCAAAGTGTAGGTGAAAAATTTTTCTCCATTAAAATAAATAAAAAGAAAAGTACAACTCACTCAAAAAATAAGTAATTATAATACTCAGAGAAAAACGTATAATGCTTGATGATTTTATTGGAGGTTTAGGCCTCTATTTATAAGAAACAAGGTGGTGGAATTATGGTAGGACTTGCCTGGCTTTTCCTCCAATCCATTCCATACATGACATTCTTTATAATTATAATCCTTTCCTTTTTACAATTCTTTCCATGCAAAACTTTCCTTGCACAGAACTTGCTTTCTTTGCTGAATCCTTTGTCTAGCAGGATTGGTTTGCCTTTAATTAAGGTTGAGCTAAGGGTGGGCTGATCCAAACGATTCAGTATATGGGCTTGGAGTTCGACCTTAGCGCCCTGGGCTGTTGATGTCTTTACTGGGCCTGAATGAGATTGTACGCATCTGGGCTTAGTAAATTGGCTGAATGGTCACAGTCAGCGATCTCTATGGAAGAAAGACTTTACCTGGGCTTGTTCCAGATTAGGCTCTCCCAACTTGGGCTTGATACCATTCAAGCCCTTGCTGTATATAATATAAATTTGTAGTGTGATGACGTGGACGATTCTTATTAGACGGGGGATTTTTTACCTTCACAGCCACCTAACGTTTATGTTACAAATAAGTCTAAGGAATCATCCTAGGCTACATTAAACAATTAATACTCAAATTACAATATCAATGCAATTTTAACTAACATTAGAACTTCTAATACAATGCCTCAAGGCATAGATTATCAAAGTTAACAACTTGTAATCTAAACTACGGAAATAACAAGTTATGACAATTTAGTGGTATTAACTTGTATTAAGAAACAAGGCATATAAGTATACTAAGAACATGTATACTAAACCTAATTGAAATGTCAAACACCACATCACAAGCTATGAATAATCCATATTAAATAATATGGAATTGAATGTGAAATCAAGTAGTGGCGGAAAGACAAAGACATACGGTCTCAATGACCAAGCAAGCTGATCTCGGGTTATTAGCCCGCAAGGTACTACCTAGGGATGGCAATAGGGCGGGGTGGGGCGGGGATCCCATTCCCCATCCTTATCCCCGGTCAAATTTTTTACCCCCATCTCCGCCCCCATACCTATTTAATCTTCAACCCCCTCCCCCATCCCTGCCCCACCCCGCCACATTAGCCCCCGTCCCCGCCCCGCATCGTATAACATTTTTTAAATTCCAATTTACCTTCAACAAAATCAACACAACCATAATATTTTTCAACCTAATAATTTAATAAAGCTTCAGCACAATTATAATAATTTAAAGCATGATCAAATGTTTTATACACAACGATTATATTTTTTCTCTATGCTGCAAGGGAATAGATCTAGGGTTTCACTTTCAGAAGCGAATATATTATATATATAGTTATGTAATTTAGTAATATTTTATAACATGTAAGGGCAATTTTGTAAAAATGCACTATAAACGGGGCGGGGTTACCTTCCCCCGCCCCCACCCCATCCCCCGCCGGGGTTTCAAATGCAATCTTCATCCCCTCCCCATTTACATAAATGGGTCCCTAAACCCACCACAAATAGGGCGGGGTGGTGTGGGAACCCACCGGATATGGGGATTTTGTCACCCCTAGTACTACCTAGTGCACACTAAACTCGGAATTAAACCGTATATTGGTGTTTTAGGGTTACTAGCCCTTAGGGAACCACCCAGTGCGCACTAAATGTTATAGGGGGAGCTCTCATCCCCCGTACTAGAGCTATGCCCTAGCCATAACATATTACAATGCCTTGTAAGCTTTCCTAAAATCAACAAGTTGTGCATTAAGGTATAATACATATACACAATATATTAGTCAACTACCATGCACAAACAAGTCAAGTAAAACACACAATATTCATCCTATGTCTTCAAGCTACAATGGCATACGACATGTCAAATGTATAATGTGTATATAATTAAGTTAAACTATAACTTCTACTCATCAAATACTATAATGTAATCATACAACAAGTTCCAAATTTACAACTTAAGCATGGAAACAACTTCAATACCTAACTACCTCAATGGAAGCATATAATGGTATTAAATTAAATTAAATAATTAAATTCTCAAGATTACTAAGTAACTCCAAATATTCTAAAATTAATATAAGTTAAAGGTCATGGCAAGGTCTAGTTTAATATCACATTACAAGTTATTTCTACCTAACTTACAACTAGGTAGATCAAACTACATATAAGAAAATAATTAAATTAAAGTTCTCCACACTCATTTAAATATTCTCATTTTCATATATGTTAATAAACATATTAAGGCCTAATTTAATATCACATTGTAAGTTCATTCCAAACTAGGTACAACCATATGAATTAAATTCCATACAAAGAAAATAATTAAATAAAAGTCTCAAAACTTATCCGATTATTCTCAATTTGATACACGTGAAGGAACTTGTCAAGGAAATCATGAATATCAAGTTAGAAACTTAATCAAGCTCATGGAACCATTGAATAGGTTTTAATTAATTCCTTTAATTAAAATCTCTAGATTTTAAAACTCATCCAAATGCTCTCATATTAAAGTATGTTATAAAACATGCCAAAACTTGAATTCATAACATGTTACAAGTAATTTCCATGCAAGCTATAACCATGATAATTAATCCTTCATACAAGAAAAATAATAAATGAAATATTTCAAAACCTAATAAAATATTCTCGATTTAATATATGTGAAAGTATATGGCATACACATCAACAATATCAAGTCATCAATTTCCTCTCAGATATTTGGGGTTACCTCTATGTCCAAATGGTTTGAAAAAGTCAAATTGTCATGGGTTGATTGATAAGGTTATTGGGAAAATTAATTGTTGGTGTAATAAGATGCTATTAGTTGTTGGAAAAGTTGAACTCATCAGATCCACTGTAGCTCCTATCTTTTTGTACTGGTGTAGCCTTTATAATGTTCCAATTTCAGTAATTAACCAGTTGCAAAAGTTGTATGGAAATTTTCTTTGGGGTAGTACAGATCATTCAAAGAAGATGCACTTAATGAGCTGGGATATGATTACTAGAGTGAAGGCTGAAGGTGGTCTTGGGTTGAGAAAACTTGTGGACATCCAAGCTGCTTCGAAGGTTGTCTTAGCCAAGGATTTTCTGACAAGTAAAGACAAGCTATGGGTTTCATGGTTTAAACAGAAATACACTCCTCAAGTCTTTTACTGGTCTGTTATTCCTCGGAGTACTCATTCAGTTATTTGGAAATCTGTGTTGGAGATGAGAGATATAATGCTCCAGTATGTTACTTTTCATTTTGGGAATGGTCGATTAGTTTGTCTTCAGGATCCTTGGTGTGATGGTGAGACAATTGCTCATAAGTTGGACATAGAGTTTTTAGATCTTTAAATGTTCCTCGGAGTGCTTCTCTAGATAGTTTATTAGATAATGGAAGATGGAATGTAAGTATTCTTCAGGGACCTGTTTTATAACAATTCGGAGAATTTCTTTTGCAAGTTCCTATTCATAATACCGAGGATAAGTTGCTATGGGATAATGCCAAGTTCTCCTTTAAAACAGCTTGGCAAGTGTGTAGAGTTCCTGCAGCTGAAGTTAACCGGTTTAGTTACTATTGGGGTCATGCAAGGCCACGATGGTCTGTCACTACAGTTTTTGTGATGCAAAATCGGGT